GCCGCCGCCGCCGCCTCGTCGTCCACCGCGAGCAATAAAAAGGAAGACAAGGACGCAGCTTCATCCGAGGCGGGTTTGCAGCTCTCACACGAGTGGTTCCCTTTTCCGAACGAACAGAGGGGCTGGAGCAAGTCGGAGTATGTTAGGTGGATACAAACCAGGCACGATGCGCGAGATGCATTGAGCTTGCTCTGGGCCACGCTGGATCAGCATGCGCACATCGACGTCGGCATGGGATCTGCTGGCAAGACGGTGCAATATTTGCAAAGATGGAAGCAAGTTGTGGAGCACAGCGACGCGATTCGTGATGCGTGACGTCTCAGTCAGGCCTGAGTGTCACTCGCTTCAAGATTCTCATCAGCCTCGTGGTCGCTACAGCTCTCAATGCATCCCATTCGTCGTGTTGTCGATGCAAAGACGCATCTATGAGCAGATTTTCGTCGGATTGACCAACGAACTTGGTCCAATTGTGCGCGCGCGTTGGCTGAACCCCCCTTTGCTGCTGCTCATCGTCTACGTTCCGGACTCTTGCTCCTGGCGATGCGATCCATCAGTCTTCCAGCCCCGCCCGGCGCATCCCTCGCCGCGTTCCTTCCGTCTCCTCTCCTCTCCCTATCCCTACCCGCACCCTTGATGGCAGACCCGGCAATGTTCCTGCCGCCGCCGCCGCCGCCATGAGAAGCGGCGGGCGGTCTTACGAATGCGAAATCGGCACAGAGCGATTCTTCCATCAGGCTTAGACCATCTTGACAGGCTTGAATGGCTGACTTGGCCTCGGATTGCGTCTCGTACTCTATCAGCGCGTAGCCCTTTGCGCGGGGTGGGAATAAGGCGAGCGATGTTGGTGTCAGCACGATGACTCGCAGCGTTGCTTAGACTCAAAAGCCACACAGATGCTAGCCGAGCCCAGCAAGGTGCGCCTCATCTTTTTTGTCCCCCCTTTTGCGCCGCCTTCACGGATCTCGCTTCACTCCACAAGGGCGCTCCTGCTCACCTTGACGTAACCGGTACGACGATCCAAGTTGAGATGCAGATTCTTGATCTCTCCATAATCCGCAAACTTGTCCTGCACCTCTTCCTCTGTCGCCTCTTCGTGCACGCCCGTCACGAGCACGATCCAGCCTTCGATGGCTGACGTCGAGAAAGAGCGGAG